GTAGTAGTAGTAGTAGTAGTAGTAGTAGTAGTAGTAGTAGTAGTAGTGGTAGTGGTAGTGGTAGTGGTAGTGGTAGTCGTAGTAGTAGTAGTAGTAGTAGTAGTCGTAGTCGTAGTCGTAGTCGTAGTCGTAGTCGTAGTCGTAGTAGTAGTAGTAGTAGGAGTAGGAGTAGGAGTAGGAGTAGGAGGAGTAGGAGTCGGAGTCGGAGTCGGAGTACGAGTAGGAGTAATAGTAGTAGTAGTAGTAATAGTAGTAGTAGTAGTAGGAGTAGGAGTAGGATCAGGAGTAGGAGTAGGAGTAGGAGGTAGTAGTAGGCGTAGGAGGTAGTAGTAGTAGTAGTAGTAGTAGTAGTAGTAGTAGTAGTAGTAGGCGTAGGCGTAGGCGTAGGCGTAGGCGTAGGCGTAGGAGTAGGAGTAGGAGTAGGAGTAGGAGCAGCAGTAGTAGTAGTAGCAGCAGCAGTAGCAGTAGCAGTAGCAGTAGAAGTAGCAGTAGTAGTAGCAGTCGTAGTAGTGGTAGTGGTAGTGGTAGTGGTTGCAAGTAGCAAGTAGTAAGTAGTAAGTAGTAAGTAGTAAGTAGTAGTAGTCAGTAGTCAGTAGTCAGTAGTCAGTAGTCAGTAGTCAGTAGTAGTAGTAGTAGTAGTAGTAGAAGTAGTAGTAGTAGTAGTAGTAGTAGTAGTCGTAGTAGTAGTAGTAGTAGTAGTCGTAGTCGTGGTATCAGTAGTAGTAGTAGTAGTAGTAGTAGTAGTACTAGTAGTAGTAGCAGCAGCAGCAGCAGCAGCAGTAGTAGTAGTAGTGGTAGTGGTAGTGGTAGTGGTAGTAGTAGTAGTAGTGGTGGTGGTGGTAGTAGTGGTAGTAGTAGTAGTAGTAGCAGTAGTCAGTAGTCAGTAGTCAGTAGTAGTAGTAGTAGCAGTAGCAGTAGGAGTAGTAGTAGTAGTAGCAGTAGTAGGTGCTAGTTGCCCGTTGCTATTTGCTAGTGCTAGTGCTAGTGGCCGTAGAACTTCTATTTAGAACCTCTACCATACCCTGGAAAGAAAAACTGAAGCCCCGTTAGGTGTATCTTGCGCTCGCCATCAAAAGGTGTTGTTGTTTTTACCCTCTCCTAGGCATGTGTTACAACGGCCGGAGAAGGCAAGGAGCAGCAGGCTGGTCAGGTGGTTGCTCAACGCATCCCCGACCAAGACGTCGGCCTTTGCCCGACTCCAGCTCCTGCTCACTCAGCCGAGCACACCGCCGCGCCGCCCGACTTCGAGTGCACCTTCGCTCCCAGGGTGCTAAACGCCCACGGCGTCGACGGCAGCGACGGGCAGTCAGAGGTGTTAGCTGAAGCATTAAGAATATAGGCGAAATGATCGATAAGTGTTATCAGCTATCCTTGGTATCGTTAGTGACCGGTGAAAATTTCCTCAAATAGCTGCAGCCTATTATATTTCTCAATGGTGTGTGGCTCTGGATCGGCGTTTCATTTTGCCAGGGACGATATCCGCTCATATTGTGCTTGGCAAATTGATGCATGTATTGCCTTGTGGTATGCATTGTTTCCCTTCGTGGATGACATGGTGTCATGCCAGGGATGACGTCAGGTCATGCCGGCACCGCTCATCAACAACGAAGGTGGCTAAACGTTGGGATTTTTTTCCTCAGGCACCATGATTTTTCCTATACGCCCGCTATCTGGGGTCTGTGCTGATGTATATAATTAGATGGAGTGGCCCCAAGCAAGTTTTCAATCGTCCCATCATGAAGAAGCATGCTGAAGGTTCGACCATGGGTGTTGGGTGGCTTAGGAGGCCTTAAGGATCTTTAAGGGTCAAAACAACCCCGATTGGGATCTCAAAGCCTATAGGGACCTAACACCCCGGACCTTCCCCCTCCAATGTAGGGTTTGTCCATGTTTGTGTTCTGCCAGGAGGGGGGAAGGGTGTTGCTTTCTTCTTTCTGAATGTTTGGAGATGGACCTGGCATTCCCTGCGCCAACAGGTGTGCAGATGGCCAAAAAATCATCCTACCTCCTCATGTGTTTTTGGCAGAGGCGGTTGTCCAGCCACAAACATGCCAGTAAACCATACACCACCTCAGTGTCGTTTTCTTTTTGGTTTGTGGTTGTTTTTCAGGCGCGTGGCGGCTATCCGCATTCGCGGCGCCCTTTGCCTTTCTCGGCGCGCTTTGCGCCAGGAGATGCAACGATCCGAACTGCAAGTTCGCCCATGGCTCAGGGCAACTTCGCTCGGTGTGGGCATATCCCATTTGGCCGATGGAGGCGGGTGCTTCGCCCCGGGGGTTGGTGGGTGGAAGACGGTGGAACCAAGAGCGGCTCCGAAAAACGAGTGGTGGAAGTGGATGAAGCTGGTGGATGTTGGACGTAATAGTGTCGCCCCCGAAGATGTAAGGTCAAGAGGAGAGGGACCTGGGGAACACTCACTCTTCCTCACTAAGGAATCGCAGTTGAAAGGACTAGCTAACAATCAGAACTTGCCGTGCGCCAATCGCCTGCTTTCAAGCAACCAATGCTCCCGAATGCTCCCGGCTTGCTCGCCAGGTGATGCAAGACTTTGATTTTAGCCAGATGCAGGCGCAGTTCTTTTTCGTTTTCACGAACGCTTAAATGATCACGGCTTCCGGTAGTTCACATCAATGCTTCAACTGAGAACCAGTCGCGGCACCTGCCTCCTGCGAGTCCTGCTCTGGCTCAGGACATACTTCTTTGAACACCGTTTGTTTTTCTTGTGTAGCCTTCACACCCAAATCGCTGTAGCCAGTCTACGGTGTACGGTTATTTGCTCCAGGAATCTTCTGGCTTGGTCAGACTGGCTTCATTGCTTCATTTGTGTTAGAACCACGCAAACCACCTATGAACCCAGAGCTGCAACGTATCTGGACAACCCGAAACGTCTCTTTCTTCACCAAAATGCTTCGCTCATGTTGATCATTTTGATCATTCTTCACGCCTTTCCCAAGTGGTGGAAGTGCGTGCGACGCCATTCCCCAGCCTTTGGCACAGCCTTTCGGAACACCCCCGAAACTCCGACCTTGAGACTTGATTCACGAACCGCTCATGCACCAGGACCCTTCCGTTCGCCATGTGGCTTTTTGGACACCCCTTCTTTTTTTTCACCTCTGCGTAAGGGGCCGTTGATACGTGGTAGAGACTTGATGATGTCTGATATTTCAACCATTTTCAACCCCCCCAAGGCCTTTCACCCGACTTCACCGGCTCAAAACTGCCTGGACCGGCTCCATGTTCGTCTGAACCGGTCGTTCACGCGGTCGTTACGCCACGCGGTCGTTACCCAGGCCTATCCGTATGAGATGTGCTCGGAGGTCCAGGAGGTGGGGCTGCTTAGGTTAAATATAGGTGGTCCTTTTCCGAAGCTTAGGTGGCAGGTGGAAGTGGAGATGAGTGGAGTTTCCAATCTTCATTTTCAGCCGAAGAAATGAGTCGAAGAGACCCTGCTCTTCTTCAGCCAGGAGAAAGCGTTTTGGAATGCCGTTTCTGCGTCCTCTGGCTCAAGCTGCATGCGCCGGCTTCGGCCCTACGGCTTCCAATGTCCATGTCCACTGACTCTGCCGAGCTGCCAGTGGGCGAAGCTGAAGGTGGAGGGTGCTGCGAGCGTGCGGAGGGCGCCAGCACGAGCGCAGGTTGCACGAGCGCTCGCCCGGCGACGGCATGCCTGGCGCATGCCGCCTTCCAAGACGACCTGGAGACCCTGAGGCACTTGCTAGGTAGCAAGGCAGACCCATTGAAGCAAGACTTTTGGGGAAGAACTCCTCTATTTGTGGCCGCCGTCAAGGGCCATCTGGAGTGTTGCAAGCTGCTTTTGAAGACTGATGCATCCAAAGCACTGCTGATGTTGAAGACGAAAGACAACATTCGAGGCGAAACACCACTGGAGGCCGCTTCCCGTCGCCCTGGTACCGAGATCGAAGACTTCCTGCTGACCCAATGGAAGGAAACGACCACGGAGCCACCTCCTGTGGTACCAGCACAGGCGGAGCAGCTTCCGGTCCGGGAAAGATATGTGCATAATATTCAGAATAGACTCTTTCAGAAGCTTCAAAAGGAGCATGAATCCCATCAAGAACCTTCTCAGTTGGAGGCTTTGCGACAGGAACAGACAAAGCTTTCGTCTCTTCAGGAACGCTGTGCACAGCTCGAAAAAGAAAAAGAAGATGCTTTGCGAGACGA